ATATATACTGATAATGTAATACTATCGGTGTAGGTAACATGTTAAATGAGTTAAATAGTCTTACATGTTAAACTTGTGGGTCAATTTCTGTATTTGGAAGTCTTGTTGGGTTCATTGTATAATGTGTGAATGGATAATTGTACATAGAATAAAGATTGTTGAATTAAAAATGTGAAAGTGTTGCAAGTATGAATACTTATGACAGATGAATGCAACCTTTCGTATTTTCATGCAACCTTTCTTATTTCTAGGCTACCTTTTCACATATCATGAATGAATCATTGTGCTCACCTATAGGCTATAAATATCTGAATCTTTCTTAGATATTGAGACAAGTTTTTGAAACAAGTTTACAAGAAGAAAAACACTACATAGTAAGAAAACAATTTCTGCTTTTCCAAAAACTTCAAGTGTAATTACAAGTCATTGAGTGGTTCGCTGGACAACAATTTTGAGGTACCCCTATTTGTTTGTCGCGAAGAATCATTTTATCCTGGGAGGATATATTTCATAACCTCGGGTACTTGAGAGGAATAATTTCATTAAGGAAAAACTCTGTGAATTCAAAGGACTTGACTCTTCTTCCTTTCATCTTGTTGATTATATGATTTTTTGTTTCCAAAATTTATCTAACTTCATATTGTATATTTCATTATTTGTATGAAATTTGTTTGAAGTTATTTTGCTGGAAAAACAGATTTTGCACTATGAATAGTTAACAAGTCTCAAATCATATTTTTTTTTTTGGAGAATTTAGAATTTCATCTCATGATATGATATGAGATGAAATCAACGAGAAATCGCATATCTAAACGCTAATTTCATTTCATAATTTCATATCGTGATATGCAATTACATGTCCAAAAGCCTACTAATATAAAACTTTGTGCCTTGAAAATTTCACTTACCCTAGTTTCCTATATATTGTAATGTAATTTCAAAAAGTTCTATTCTATTTCCTATATTTTCAATGAACTAACCTAGAAATTACTCTCTTTCTTTCCTATTTCAAATTCCTGGGGGAAAAAAAAGAGGTGCAATTCTGTTTGAAGGGAAATCAGAGTAATAATTTAATGATCATAACAGTGTTTGGACTCTTCCTTAATTAGAGGTTTCAGATTCGAGTTTTGACTATAAAAAATTATTGATAGGGACAGTTTTCCCCCAAATGAAGCTCTATGCGTAGATTCAAATTAATCAGGTTCTAATATGATATCGAACACTAATTTTTTTTTTATAAAAAAAACAGTGTTTGGACTATTGACTAACCATGAAAAATTGGACACGGTTTCTTTGTTTGACAGATAATCTTTCGAGCAAAAATAGATAAAGATCATATTTCAATTATTTATTTTAAGCAATGATGTTGATTTGCAAAAGGATATTATAATGTATAAAATTGCATTTATATGATCCAATAAAAGTTTGCCAGCACCAAAACATATTAAGCTGGATCAGAAAGTCTCGACTTAAATTCAACAAGTCAAGCTGAAATAAACCAAGAAATTAGACCGAAAAGGGAAGCTATTTCAATTGATATTTTTATATTAATTATCTCTACTAGACTTAGGTTCAATAAGAAGATTCAAAGAAATGACATAATACATATTTGTAACTACCACATTAAAATTTTTACTTATATGTTTAATGTAAAATATTACAAAGAATTAATTTTTATTTTAATTATTTAAAATAATTTTTCGATGAAAAATATTGAATTAAAATAATAATATGAAAAAGTTACTGTAATACTTACTCCCTCTCTCTTTTTACTTGTTCAATTTTGAATTTATACTTGTCCCTTTTTGCTTGTTATTTTTGACAAATCAAGAAAAAATATTATTATTATTTCTTACCTATTATACCCTCAATTTATTTCGAGAGTTAATAATTTTGAAAAAGAGAAAACATCTTTAATGAGTAAATTGATTTTGAAATTTTATAGGATTAAAACAGTAAACTTACTACGTCAATTTTATTTTTTTAATATATGTGTCAAATAAAAAAAAACAAGTAAATAGAGATAGACCGAGTAATAATTAGGAAAATAATTAATTAGGAGTACTATGCTTTAATAAATAATTCATTAATTGTGTTAATTATCTATATTCTCTTGTACATATCCATTTATTTCTATTTATGTTGATGCAACGCTTATCCAAATGAAGACAATCTTCATATTTATTTAAATTTTTTGGATCAATTAATTTACTTGAAAAATTATAGCATGTATGAAATATTGTGAATATGTCTTTACCAATCACAGAAAATAAAATTTAGTTCCAGTCACTTCAATGAAAAATACATGACTAGAGAGAGTTGCTCGGATGTTAAGCACCCCTCAGTTCCAACTCGAAGGTTGCGAGTTCGAGTCACCAAGGAAGCAAAAGGGGTGGGAGCTCCTAGGGAGGGTGAAAAAATAAATAAAAAAAATACATTATTATACATGAAAATTTAGGAAAAACTACACAAATGGGTCATAGAACCCAAAGTAATTACAAGTTCATATTCAAACCCGATGTAATTTCTGATATACATATTCTCTCATAAATAATTACAGCTCATACACCCCATTAATATATATATAAAATATTGGTATCATAAAAGTTTTTTATTGAGAAATTAGTCATTAGTTAGAGTATATGTATATTGTTATAGTATTACTAAGGCTTCTTGTTCAGAAATTACTCATTAGTCAATAATACTATAAGATTTCTTGTTTTGAAATTACTCATTACTAATCAAACTAATTATGTTTTTCTAGCGAATATATTTCAATTAAATATTGTGTATATTTTTAAGAGCAACTTTCACATATAGCAAATATAAAAATTATATTTGTATGCTATAACTATAGTTTGCATAATTGCGCTCCATAGTAAATTTTATGTTTGTTATGGAGCTTTTGATTTGTATAATTCGCTAAATACATCCAATTTTATACAAATTGTTCAGTTTTATCTAAATTCATTTATATATTGTAATTTGTATAATAAGATCTGTATTTGTATAATTATAAGTGTATAGGACGAAAATATATGTATTTTGCATTTGTATATACACTTTTCTCTCGCTTTATACAAACACAAACACATTTTATACATTTGTATACCGAATGGGTAGTTGTATACCGAAAATGGCTAATTGTATACCGAAACAGATGGCAAAAAAATGAGATGTTTGTTGCGAATTACAAATAAAATAAACTATGGCTATATAATTTAATTTGAATTAATAGTTTGCTATTTTATACAATTTTTCATATTTTTGAACTCTTAAATTAAATCCTAACGAAACTTATCTTAACTACCTTATTAGACATGTATCTTTATCATATATACTAATTCCAACTATATTTTTTAAACAATTACGTATCTTGCCACTAATTAAGAGTTTTTTTTTATCATATATTGAGGAAGATACACGTAGATATATGTATTTTTTGTTATCAGATACACTAAAATAAGAAGAGAACGAGCGAGACGGGGAGAGAAGCGAGCGAGATAGTCATATATTCCAAATACATGTGAATCACACAGGATACAAGATAGGTAGGAGAGCAGCGAGCGAGATGAGAGGAAGACGGATGAGATTCGTTATGTATCTTAAGAGGGAGACGAACGAGATTCGTTATGTATCTTAGATACATGCTAATTCCGTTGTATGTAATGTATCTAGAAAAATTATACTTAATTTTGATCCCATATATCTCGATACATGGAAATTTCTGTAAATTTTCCTACTTTTTTTATTTATAATTTTAAAAATTAAACTATTTGATTCAATATAAATACAAAATATAAATATTCTCCATACCTCATCAATATCTCTAGTGACTAAGTTCCCATTTTTCTCTTTTCATTTAATCCCTTTTCGTACTTTTGTTTCTCTTCCGTCCAAAGCCAAGAATTTCCACTGTATTTTACCCACAAAATAACTATTCTCTGCAAATTCTCCATTGCTTTAACCTTCCACAATCTCCCTTTCTTTTTTATAAAATAATTGTCTTGACCCAATTTTTGTAAAAGGATTTTTATACTTTTTCTTCTAACCTTAAAATCATGAAGGTTCATCCAGTACCAAGGAAACGCAACATCACGTTACGATACGACATCGTTTCGGCTCTTTCTCAGGCTAATGCGTTATCCGGCCGTCAGAAGAAGCTCCGGCGACTACCTCATATATTCGCGAAGGTTTTAGAACTTCCGTTTAATTCCGATGCGGATGTTTCTATTGAAGAAACCTCTGATTCATTCCGTTTTGTTATACCGACGGATGATGCTGGGAATAATATTAGGGCTGATACAGTTGAGATCTATCCGGGTGTTACTAAGATTGTAATTCGAGGGGATAATGTTTTGGATTCGTCTCTAGGCGAGTTTGAACTTGATTTATGGCGATTCCGTCTTCCGCCGTCAACACTGCCGGAGTTGGCTACCGCTGATTTTGCTGACGGCGAATTGGTGGTCACGGTTCCGAAAGACCCAGATGAGGAGGTGGTCGATGATGGTGGTATTGGTGAGGCTGGACGCCTTATTCTTGTACAATAAACTTCTCTCTAGCTTCAGTTTTTTTTTTTTCCAGTTTATGTCCCAATTGTGGCTCGTCTTGCTAAAGGGATATATCTTAACTATCTATGTTCAATTAAATAAAATTGTACTCTTTGGATTTGGATTTGAATTTTGATCATTGCGCTCTACTTATTTCCTTACTTTTTGGCTTTTACTTTACAAAAGGTCAGTAATGAAGAGGATTCATAATAATGAACTTTAGCTAGATTTAGTGGGTAATCTATGGATGTATTCGACGAAATTTAGTTGAATCATTGCTTTCATTAACCACTAATGTGGTGCGGAATTTACTAATAGGCCGATTGTAAAAGAAGAAAAGAAGCAAGCTTTTCCTTGAAATATTAATGGTTATGAGTTGTTAAAGTAGTCTTTATACTTCTATTGTTGCAATTTGTGACAATCGCATCTGCATAGCTTGAGTTGCTGAGTTGTTCAATTGGTTGTGTTTTATAAGCATAAGGTTTGTGAATGCCAATGGCTGATTTCTGTTTTCATTCTTCTTTGTGTGGTTCATGTCTGTGATCTTACCGATATAAAGATGCATTCTTTTCTTTGTATCTTGAAATTTGGTTCATCTGATTTTGTTTGGTTGCCACTATTTCAAAATCACTTAACCATTTAAACAGTATGTATTTCAAAATCACTTAACCATTTAAACAGTATGAAATGCTGGTGCCATTCAGTTGATTTTCTATATACTTTTATTTCCTTTCACAAAAGATATGTGATGACCAATGGAAGAACATATATGATAGAATTGATCACAAGTCATATAGCCTTCTGCTGTCCAAAGTAGCCGCATAACTGCTGATGTTGGTGATTCTTCCTTCAACTGTTGCAAACAATACATGGTACTGCAGAACTATTATCATCATTATTCAGCTGCTAATTGGATAACAATTTCTCAAGTATGTGCAGTCCCATGCTATGTATAGTGGTCCTAATTCTTTTCATAATGTCATTATATGTTTCTCTTGCTAGTTACTCCAATTTCCAACAGATTAAACCATGTTGATTTGTAGGTTTATTCGGATCTGGTGCACTTCTATGCTTGTCCAATAATGTCCCATCGAAGCTTCCGTGGTTCTATCCTTTTAATAATTGAACTTTCCCTGATTGTCTTATCTGTCATTGCTGTGCAAAAGTCATTTCGCAGCATAGTTCTTCATTTGTATTCTTATAGTTTGGTGGGTGCTGCTCTTCTGAACATCAGTACCTAAGTGTAGAATTCTGTTGCATATAGATTATAGATTTCAATCTGCTTTGCATGTAGAATAGAATTAATCAGATTATTGAAGAGCTTAAGAGCTAAGCGAATCTGAAAAGGATTTGAAGATGTAACTCATAGAGAAATGTCCATAGTTGGATGTTGTGACGTTTGAGTATACTTACTACTAAGTTAGTCCCAGTTGCATTTTGTTGAAATGCAGAACCAATTTTTTGGTATTGTTATGTTATGGTGATAGGGCATTAGAAGCAGATTCTACCATTTTACTCTGTTTCCAGCTAACCTAAATAACCTAGAGCAAATAGATGGTGTAATAATCTGTATGTGGCTTCTATATTCCCATGGCTATGTGATCTGCGAACTTATAGCTTACTGGCCTTAAGGGCTGTAGATCCACTGTTTAATCATCTTGTAGTCCAAGAGAGGTCTTTCTTTGTTAAGGAGTTTCTGGAACTGTCACTCGGTTATCATGGTAATGAGTTTTTGACCAAATTCATCCTTATTGTTTTGCCTCAACTTTCAATACATCCTTATAATACTCCACTTAACTAAGAACATCCTTTAAGTTTCTTAAAAATGATCAAAAACATCCTATTGTTGAGTTTTTCATCCTTTTCCGACAGAATGATCTTTTTCTCTTAATTTCATCTCTTTTTATTTACCAAAAAGAGAAACAAAAGAAGAATCTCCCAGAAACAAAGATATCACTCTTTTCTTGCTTGCCAAAACTATGTATCACCACATTTTGTGAAAGAGTATCAAGGTTGTGTTGAGTCTTTAAGCTTAAAATGTTCTTAGTTAAGTGGAATATTATAAGGATATAATGGAAGTTGAAGTAAGACAATATTGATGAATTTGGTCAAAAACTCTCGTGTTAATCCTCTTATGTGAGATTTACGAATATCTAAAATAGACCTTACAAAAGCCATACATTTAGTGGTCATTTTTGCTTCCAAGTTCCAACCACAAGGAGTAGTTGTTTTCATTCCCAACCATGTAGCATATGCTCATTAGTAACAGCTCTTTGACCCAAGCCTTTGCGAAAGTTTCCGTATGAATCCTTTAGTAGCTTTTGCATATCTTTAACTTTTGTATGTTCAATAAACGTGTATTATTGTAGTGTGGGACTGACTATGTCGAGTTGCATTATCACCCAGGGTATTCCCGGAAGATGCATTACGTTTCTTTTCTTCTGGTTGCTGGTAGATGATTGTATTGGCAAAATCTATGTCTGTGTCAATTTATTTCCATCGCTAATATCAGATGTTGCACAATACCTGTTTTGTTGCTTCAAGTGTTGTCACGATCCTGGTAAGTTTCTTCTTTAATGATTTTGATGAATCAGAAGCTGGTACAGTGTTTTTTTTCCTGGTTATTTCTACAGTTTTAGTAAATTGTACTAGTATAATTTCTGGTGATGAGATAAGTGGGGTCTTGCAAATGTTAGCTTCACACTCCCTTGTGTCAGCAACACAAATATGTGCCATTTACACTTGCTGGCAATGACACATCCTAGTCTACTCTGATGTGAAAGTTGAGGCTCCACACTCCACATACTACCATGATATCAAGTAAAGGATGGATCTGAGAGCTTTTAACTTTTATCTTGAGAAAGACGAATTTTTGCTGCCAAATTACCTCTCCTGAAAATTGAAATTACACGAAAGTTGAACTATTCGCCAACTCTTTCTTTGCAACTGGGACACGAATAGATTCTGCTTGGAATGGCTTTTCAAAACTCTTTTTAAGTATTGTCACTCTCGATGGCCACATTTTAATGGCAAAGGTGCCTCCATTGTTTTATTTTTGTTTTTCATCTGGTGTCCGATCTCTGTTGGAGTTTGACTAATTCAGATACGCATCGGATAGTAAGGGTAGCGCTTTTCACCAAAGTCAAAGGCTTGAAATCGAGACTTCTGATTAAGGAATAAGTGCAATTTGCACCACGTCCATGGGGTTTACTTAAGAAGTTGGGTGTGATAAATTAATCAAGACTTTATTCATTGTTCAACGTTTAAGATTGATGTTATTTTTTCTATACTTATTATTGAAATTTTACTTGAATTGCACTGCTTACAAAGTTACGGACAAGTAAATATTAGTACAACACTCCAAAAATAGCCCTTATTCTTTCTTAAAAGAAAGAATGGTTTGGGCGGCTCACACCGCAACTTACAAAGCACCATCTGTAAAATCAATATCATATCCCTCAACACGTGTAATACATTTCCAGCCTTTGGCAGTACCACTTAATGCAGCTTCTGTTTATCCTTCATCTTCGATGGTTGTAAATTTTTAGAGATATATATCCTTTGTTAAAAAATTAAAGAAGATGAGCATGAGTAATGAAGACAAACCCGTAACATATACGGACGTGTTTTCAGTGTCAAGCGAACTTGGTTCAGAAATTATAGCGCCAGAAGATGCAGCAATAATGCAATCAGCAGAGAGTATAGCACTCGGTCATGTTCCGCGAGGCGGCCCTGCATCACTCATGCAGTCAGCCGCCTCACAGAATGAGCGAATTGGTGTTGTAGCTACTAATGACATAACTGATTTCGCCAGAAAACACGGCGTTACCGTTTCTCAAGTTGAAGTTGGGGGTACTCGCGTTGTTTCTGAATCCGTCGGTGGAGAGGTAAGCTTCATCTTATTTCATCATAATCATGGACTTTATGAAATAAGTAATAATAGCAGACACTTAAATTTGTATAGCGTTCAAAAAATAGACACATTCAAATTGGAGAATATAGATGCTAGTCCAAGTTTTAAAGGAATATTTTTGTACTATATATGCCTAAAATTTTTTGTACTATATATGCCAAAATTTTTTTATGAAGGGTGTCCAAATTCATTGTTGAAATATGAATCATCAATGTTGGACCCTTTAGAAAGTCAATGGAGTAGTTATGATAGTTATTCAATGGCATTGATGCATTCATTGGGGATATTTATTGGATGGTCCAATTGTGACCTCAACTGTGATCCTAGTGTTTTATGAACCCAAGGGTCAGTTGCTTGTTTCAGGCTGCTATGGGTTCCTCCTTCCTCCTTTCTCTCTGGTTCAGTTTTAGACTTAAACTATATTTATTTCGGAGTTGCATCTCCATTTTCTAGAGGACTTAGATTTTGGTACACAAATTTCAAATTCTAGGAGGGTTTTCCGTGATTATTTTATGATTTTGAATTTTAATAATGAAAGCTTATTTTCGAATTGAAAATTGTTTATTTTTGGTTATTTAATGGATTATGCGTTAGTGGTTAGTTAATTCTCAAATCGGGGGTTAGTGTGGTGCTATGACGACGGATCAGGATTGTGACAACAAGAAATTGTAACACAAAAACAAAGTGTGATCACCTAAATACCAATGATATCAAAATAAACCAATTATATGAAAAGACATACTACAATTGATATGGTGCTCTACAGTACTACCAAGCCAAATACAATTGTGAAACCACTAGAGGAAAGATTTGTGAAGAAAAACGAGGAACCATTTGTGGAACAATTGTTGGGGTCCCTTAGTAAGAGCGGATGAAAGCACTGTCATGAAGTCATCGTTCCCTGCAAATAGGAGTTAGCTCTAGCAAAGAAGCACTCAAAAACCTAACCATTTGATCTCCATCCAAATAAACACATTTCTCTCTCTCTTTAGCGATGACTAGAAAAAAGTGAAGCTTGCTTTCATTAAAAGTAAAACTAACAATGACGTCTCATATAGGAAAAAACAACAAGGGATTCTTGGAAAAAATCTGAAGAACTCGACACATTTGTGGTATTTAAATGGCTACGGTCATCTATAGTTTTTACTACAATAAACTTTCATGAACCCCCAAGGCCTAGCTCAAGTGGCAAAAGGTGGAGGATTTGTGGCTTAGGTCGTAGGTTCAAGCCCCACACCATACAAAGCAAAGTCCGGTATTTAAGTGGAGAAGGGTAGAGGGGCGGGTTCATTATCCACCGAGTTTAGAAGGCTGTGATTGGTCCAAAGGGCGGGTCACAAACGGATTTCTCGGTTATCAAAAAAAAAAAAAAAAACTTTCATGATTTGAGAACACCACAAGTTCATTGTGGTAAGGACTACAGATTATTGTAGTCATTTCAATACCATAAAATGTGTTGGTTCATGAGTCCTCAAGAACTAGATCTTTTCATCTTTTCCTGTATGGGACTTCCTTGTCAATTTTTACTTTCAACCAAAGCAAACTTTATGTTTTTTTCTATTCATGGCTGAAGAGAAGGAGAAGTGTGATTGTTTGGGAGGGGATCAAATGACTATGTTACTATTGTTGTGTGTTTCTTTGCTTAGGATTGACTTCGATTTATAGGAAAAATTCAGATTTTGTAAAGTTTTGAATAGTTTGAATTAGAGAATACTAATTTGTCGGTAGTAAGTATTTTGGCATGTATCTAAATGGGGGTGTATTAGATATCAAGTTGGATGTTATCATTTTAAAATATAGGTAGTTTATGATTTTGGTCTTGTTTTGACCAGATTTTTTGGGTCAAACTTTTTATATTAGGAAAATAATTTAGAGGTTTGAACTGACTAATTAGTATCTACAAAAGATGGTCATCTAGATATATTTAAAAAATAGTTAGTTAATTGTTGTTATTCTTTATTGTTATTTTTTCACGAATGAATCCTCGCAACTAATTATAATTAATTATAATTTGACGAGTTAATAGTAGCTAAGAATTGTGTTATTAGTATTTTTATAAGTATATGAATATTATATTATCTAGTTCATTATAAAAGAGAAAAAAAAAATCAAATATGGTATCAAACTTTGATAAAAAGGTCCATCAATGACACCCGTTGAAAATTTGGCTTATCTATGTCATTTTCGTTTGAGAAAAGACTCATCTATGCCATTATTTGTTAACAGAAAAGAAAACAGTTTCGAGTTTGTAAAATTATTTTTCTACACATGTTCAATTATGATACAGCCACACATCATCATGTAAATCATTTTTTAAAAGAAAAATGTAGCGACCTAAGCAGTCATTATTCAAGTTACATCTTGTAGTCCTAAAATTTTTAAGATACGATTTCAATTTAAAAATTGGGGCACACAACGTAAAATTAGGAATTTTAAAATTAACCAGGCTGACATCATTCCGCCATAGCGGAAATATTTTCACTACGATGACACTACTATAGCGGCATGTCAATTGCTATAGTAGGGGCAGAAACTCGAAAAACATGAATTCTTTTATTTCATCCCGCTCTTTATTAATGAAACAATGAGGGTTACTCCAAAAAAATCTCATAAGCAGCTCTAAGCTCGGGAATAATGAAGGGGAGGGATTTCGAAACAAAGAAGACCAAAATCCATGGATTCTCGATCAATGTCCGTCGAGATTCGCCCTCATGGAGCCAGAAGTTCATATTCAAAAAATTTCAACAGTTGTTTGAAGTCTAGGTAGGCTACATTTTATTAACCGAATAGTTAGAACAATTTTTACTTATATATTATCTTGTAAATTGTCGAGAGATAACATGCAGAAGCCTTCGGGATGGTGTCTGGGTGGATGAATGTGTGGTTAGTTGTGGTTTAGGCTGATGATAGGCTTGATTAGCTATTGTTGAATTATGATATTTGTTGAGTGTTATCTTGGGAAAGGTGGTTGTGAAAATTAGATTATGATCAGGAGACGTTCGAGAAGGAATCCTTTCGGGTAGGTGAGTGTTGTTTGTTTTTTCCGGTTATGTTTTATGTGATTCTTAATCGTTTCGTTAGTATTTCATGCATGATATATGATTAGGGGAAAGGAAATAACATGATGTGAATGATAAAAGTTGTCAATTATATGCAATGAATGTGTTTTACTTGAGTGTACCAGTCAGTGGCGCAGCTAGAAATTTTATGAAGGGAGTCCAAATTTTTGATAGTAAATTCAACAAAAAGAGGTAATCTTATAGGGATTCAATCTTGCATACTTTAACACCAAATTGCCATCAAGTTGTTGCTCACTTCACATCAAAGTTGTGCATTTTTAATATGTTATAGATTTCAAGTAGCTACTGGAATCTATTAGTTGGAAGGGTGTTCAAAATAGTATATATATCAATATAAAGTAAGATTTGACGTATATATAGTGAAATTTTTCGATAAAGGGTGTCCAGTTGGACGCCTTGGCACCACCGTAGCTCCGCCCATTCTTGTTTGAAGACTCATAATGATCAACATCACAAAGATCCCATTTTATTCTAGAAGCTTGTAGTATTGGTCCTGACTAGTGCCATCAAAACGGCCTTAGCTCATGGGGCCGGCCCAACCCAACCCAACTCGTTATTGGGGTAGGGTTGGGATATGATTTTTCAAGCCCATTTAAAACTAGGGCTTATAAGCCCGGCCCATATAAGCCCTTAGCCCTTGAGGCTTGATCAGGGTCGGCCCATGGGCCAATTTTTTTTATTTAATGACAACTTACAATAATTCACTAATATATAATCTAATTACTTAAATACACGCTATGTCTTAATATTATGAATCTTACCAAATTTTGGTACGTCCAGATACATGTATCTCAGAATATATGGACTCAAAATTAGGTTAATTTGTTCTAGATACACTTTATCCAAGTAGATTCGCATGTATCTTGGATATACATAGACAAATCTCGCGCTCTCACCTCTCTCCCATCTTTCTTGTCACTCTCTTATCTCGCTCGCGTATCTGGTATGTGAGATACATGTTAATCACACTAGATTTTTTGCTAGTGTTATTGAAACAACACCATTGTTTGTCATATTTGATTTGAAAATCTTCTCATTTTCTTGATGTTATAGAATTATAAGTTTGAAAAAAAAAAAAGGGCTAGCCCTCTCCAGCCCTCGGCCTTTCTAGGGTTGGGCTGGGTTGAGCATTTTCAGCCCTACCAAATGAAGGGCCGGCCCGTCCTAGCCCTTCAAATTCATTGGCCGACAAGGCTTGGGCTGGGCCGGCCCTTTTTGACAGCTCTAGTCCTGACTAATCCCAATCTGATGCCTCGATCTCCCCTAATAATACGTACGCCTTCAACGTGTTCTCATTATAGGACTCAGGGTAGTAAGTTTTTGATACTCAACAATCTCTATTAAAAAATAATCACAAATTTCTGTGAATTATGATATAGGAACGATTTAAATTTTTGTGCTATGTTTCACAATTTTTGCACGGGTTTTGAATTTTGAGGTATTAACTCTTAAATTAAAGTAGAGTGTACTTTAATTCTTTTACGATTTTTACTGAATTCAATAACTTTTATACAGGAAGGGTAATATTTTTAGTATAGGTAAAATTACCAAAATTTCAGCAAATAGTAAGTGCAATATAATGGATTCCCTTCAAATTTAATTGATATATACACAACAATAATGCACCTTGGTGTACGTAGTTGATAGGTATGAAAATAACAATTAATTGGATATTTAGGTAGTTGCACAATATATTTATCCATCAGAAGCAGGAGGAGGTGGAGATGATGAAGAGAGATCAGCACGATATCCTACGACAGGAGTTCAAGAGGAGGCAGTTACGGTAGGTGAAGCACTAGAGGCGGTGGCACTTAAGCCTGCAGGGGACAAACCAATTGAGCAGAGCGACGCTGCAGCAATACAGGCTGCAGAAGCAAGAGCTACTGGACGAAGTGAAGTAGTGCCAGGAGGCGTAGGGGCGGAAGCTCAACGTGCTGCTTCGATAAATGCTCAAACAGATGACAAGACCACACTTGGCGATGTGCTAAGAGTAAGTTCATTTTCCGGATTAGTTCATTGATTATATGTTCATCCTTCATTTTAGATTCAATATAGATATTTGGATTTAATTATTATGAAAAGAATAGGAATTTCGGAAAAATAACATTTTGTGTGAAACTGCTAGCATTATTTTTCAGGTTACTAGTGGTACATACTACTCATCAGGGGCGGCTAAAACCCGTTGGTGGCCTGAGGCCAAAATCAAACTAGAGGCCTTAAAAAACAAAATACCTTATTCAAATCTTTGGAATAAACTAACCATCTTTTTTCATGTCTTTCTCCATTTGCCAACTTTTGAAACTAATATGTAGTGGAAAAGTGCCTTAAAAATTTATCCTTTGAAAAACATGTGTCGGTAATTCTAATTGGTCCCTTTTCTACTAATAAATCTCTTAACTTTGTTATCAATAATATTCCATTGACTAGGATCATAGATATTTTTAGGAGTGTGATTATTTAATTCATTTATAAGTTCTTGATTTTCTTGGGAATCTACATCCGACTTTTCACTAATTTCCTCTCCTTCTTCTTTTTGGTTTATATCATTATCTAATTCAACTCCAACTAAGTTAGTAACTTGTTCTTCTAAAGAGCATTCCCCTATCTTTTTTGATTTAATTTTAACATTGTTTTCCAAAAATTTATCAAGAGCACCTTTTTGAGATTTTATCAAGTTATCGACTTTTTTTTTTTAAGTTTTGAATGACCGGATTCATATTTTCTAGCTGACATATTAAAATCTAACAAATATTTTAAACACTATTTACAATATCAAATAAAAAAATATAGTAAACATAAGACACAAAATAAAAATAATATTAAAAATTAGAATGATATTACCGAAATCAAAAGCTATGAAGACTTGATTTCCGAAAATGAATCGGATTGCTGCAATATATTTTTCTCCAAATTTAAAATATAAACTATCAATAGAACAAACAAGTTCTTAAGCTTTGATAAGAGAGACGTAAAATTAGAAAAGAGAAAGTGAGAAGAAATAGAAGAGAGAGGATAAACTATATAAAACAAAATTTTAAAAAATAAGGTAAAAAAAAAAGATAACTTCTACATTAAAAAAAAGTACACAACTTTTTATTGGAAAGTTGGAAAGTCATACTTATATCTATCAGACTATCACTTCAGTCTTCATTAAGCCTTTTGCATTTTTTATTTTTTTTTAGCCGTTTGCATTTTTTTTATTTTTTTATTTTTTTAGCCATTTGCATTTATTGTCTTAGTTTTAAATATATATTTCTTAATTTAACCTAATTAACTAAAAAATGGGGCCCCCTAAAATTGGGGGCCTAAGGCCAATGATTTTTTTTTTAAACTAACCAGCCGCCCCTGCTACTCATGACACGCGGTTAAATATTTCGTATTAAAATTACGGTTAATTCTTGTCAATTTGTTCTTTAGGATGCAACGAGCAAGCTTATAGATGATAAGGCAGTGAAGAAGGAAGATGCAGAAGGCGTGGTGGCTGCTGAAATAAGGAATACGCCCGACTTGGCTACACATCCGGGAGGTGTAGCAGCCTCCATCACCACCGCATCTAATCTCAACAAATTCTAATGAATTGAGATTTGAAGTGAGTGCTTTTGTTTTGATTTATGGTTTTTGTTCTAGGTAGTTGAGTGCAGTGGCACGGATTCAAGATTTTTAACAAAAGGGGTTCGAAAAATAAAAATATAGTGCATGAAGTTTGAACTTGAACCTCAAGTGAAATTTTAAATCCTCTAAGTTACTAGTCAATCTTTTAAAAGTTTATGTCTATACATAAACAAAATTACCTTAATTTTTTGTCGAGGGGGTTTTGATGAACACTCTGACAACCCCCTAAATCCGCCCTTGGTTGAGTGTACATATGAACCATGGTCGGATTTTATGAGTTGGTAGTGGTATATATGGTGGTGTTAATGTTATGAGGTTGTGATGTTTTTTTAAAATTTATTTTTAGAGAATTGGTGTTAATGAAATCATCTCCAGTTATGTGTACAAATGATAAGAATGTATATAGTGTAGCGCATACATAGAATAAGGGGATTTTAGATACACATATTAAATATATAGGAGTTGAGCTAGTCTGGTTTGAATTCCTCTAATATCGAGAGTCTGATGTTCGTGAACCCACACCTAGATCGAACCGTTTATGACAATTAGACCTACTACCCTGAAAGTATTGTAATGGAGGCTTGTTGAAACATCAGGGTCCGGAATCATTCTAAAACTCTCCCAATGAACCGGTGAGCCTATTCCTCTTCTGCTCTGCTCTCACAACTCTCTTACCGACATACTGTTTGATGTCGCGTAGCTCCTTTATATTCTATACAAAAGCCTGTCCTATTAATAATTCAGAAATTCGGACATCCATTGTCTCCTATCGAAAGTAGTGATCTAGGAAGGTCTATGTAACACTCTCCCGGATGAGCGGAGGTGCACAACGCTCCTTTTGGATCTCTCCTAACTCTCGTACCACAATATTATTACTATATACTGAAACGAAATGTTGCTAACTCAACGGACTCGATCGATAAAGCATGCATGAATTTAAAGATATTATGAAGCTTATTTATAAAATACTGTAGATCCATTTTGCAAATTATGCTTGTAAAGGTGGAAGACTCAAAGCGAGAAACTCACTAACCCTCAAACTTTTGGGTTCCTTAAAACGTGGATTCAATTAAGCAATTTAGCAATACTAGCGTTATTATTACACAACAAATTAAAGTGATTCAATTAAGAGAAAATGTGACTATCTTACTTGAGGTAGGGTAGGTAAAGACTAAAGTAATGAATTTTGATGGACTTGGACTTATGATTGTAATAGTTGCGCTAAAATTTAAGTATTGGACCTGAGAATATGGTAAAGTTGTAGGCTTAGGTTAATTAAAATTTAACAAAATATTTATATTTTATTTATGAATAATATATAAATAATTGTAAAATTTATATATCTAATTTCTTGGTTCGGTTTGGTTATTTTTACGGTTTTTTTAGTACAACCAAAACCAAATCAAATAGTATCGATTTTCAAAATTTAAACCAAATTTAATCAAATATCAAATTTTTAATGAGTTTGATTCGAATTGCGATGCGATGCAGTTTAATTTTTTAACCATAATTATGAACTGCCCTACTAACTGCACCAGCATATGTATTGCACTAGGAAGATCATGATCAAAAGCAATATGAGGAACTGACGGTGGAGCTACCAAAAGCTCCAATGTCTTCCCTTCAGTCTCTAGCTAGTTGCCGTCTGTCTAGCATGAGGCATTTCTTTCTGTATGCTTATAGCAATCATAAACTGGAAATTCAGCTCCATAACACGATTTGAGCAAGATGGGGTAACCATTCTAACATGCCCCACAACTTTCTGCTTATAAAATGTGGTGCACAACATATTTATAAACAAAATTATATTAAATACAACTTGCAAATTTCTTAGTATACGACATTGCTCTCTAGTACCAGGTTTGTCACACCCCAATCTCGGAGGTGCAACTAGCACTTGTTTCAATTTAATTTACACATCTTTGTCGGTAATATTACTCAACCCCCATATGTGTCATTATCCGAGTCTACACCCTGAACGTGTCCGGCACTCGAGAATCATTGATGATCCCTAAGCGAACTCTTGACAGGGCTGACTACTTAGCAGAAGACTAACCCAAGTAGACTTAAGCTTTAAAATAAAATTTAAATTCAAAAGTCTCAAACCTCACGCTATCTCAAAATTGTATAATCAAAACTATCTGAAAATACTCTAAAAACAATAATAGTTTACCAAAATAGTTCAAAGGAAATACTGAAAGAAACTCAACACTAACTATCTATGAAGCCTCTATAGTTTAACATGGATGTCGGGGCAAGACCCACGACACTTCAAAACTACTAAACTAAAAGACAAGAGTGGAGTCCTTTCGAATGCATGGAAGGTTCACCAAAGCTAGAAAGAAGTGCAAAGTGATCTCAACGAAGCGCCTGTTGATGATCTTGAACACCTATTTCTGCATCATGAAAAGATGCAGGTCGAATAACATTAGAATATTGAATGTACGAATATGTAATGGGGCTGAATTAAACGAATAACTGAACTGAAAGGCTGAAAGTAGCTCAACTGAAGAATAGCATAAGTCACGATGAAAATCATTTAATGCTCTTACTGTAAGGATGTAATAATAGTAAATACTAAACTTATATATATATATATATATATTCACTTTTCTTTACTAGGAGTTTCTCTAATCGACAACCATCACGATGAAAAGCCTATATATATATATATATTCACTTCACTTTACTAGGAGTTTCTCTAACCGACAATCATCACGATGAAAAGCCTTCTTGAGGCAGAGTATAGGACACAACTGAACAATTGGACTCACTGAAAAGCCTTCTTGAGGCAGGTGAAGAGTTGCTCGTCTTGTGGTACAATCCTATCTATGTTGGCGGCGTAGGTTATGGAGTTTGAGTTATCTGAACTCTTACTCCAAATTGGTGCTCAATACTACTCCCAAAATATAACTGAATGCTCATGTAAAAGTACTCTCTAGGTTGAGATAATTTCTCAAAAGATCTCTTTAAGAGGTAACTGAAGTTGTACTAAATCAGTCTGAAATACTATGAAACTCTTTATACTTTTCTGAAAATCGTACTCTCTTTCCAATGTGAAAAATAATACTTTCTTTAAGGGTAACTGAACTTCTCTTTATATGGCTGAAATGCTTTTGAAAACTGTTTATGTTCTTCTAAAAATAGTAGTTATTTTCTCAATATGAAAATGAAAATAGTACTTTTGGAACCATTGTATTCCTTTAAACTCTATTCAAAAGATACTTCAAAATACTTTTGAACTCACTTTAAAATTTCAAAATCAATGCATGGAAATAAATGTATAAAAACTTTCAAAAAAAAAGTTCATCAACTAGGGTTCATGAGAAATATAAACATGAAAAACAACTCAAGGATATCAATGCATATAATATTGCAATCTCATATCAAGAATTTCGTAAATCTGAGGGTAGAACCCTAGATTGAACTTTTCCCTAACTGGATGTAGATGTAGGGCGTGAGAACGAACTAGTCCAACACTATGAATAGCCTTACATACCTTGAAGAATAAAGTTTTTGAAGAAGTTTGAAGGAGAACTTGAACCCTAACTTTTATCTTCATTAAGGTTTCTTGGAGATGAAGAGTGGAGAAGAATCTTGGATTGAAACCCTTAAGATTCTTGAAGAGAATCTTGAACTTGGATGTTTAGATCTTGAAAAATTGGAAAAATTCTTTCTTGGAGCTCTTGATCTTTGAAAGAATGAGAATTGGGGATTTTAAGAGTTGATATACGTATAATGATGGTATTAGGCAGTAAGATGGACTTAGGAAAGTTGATTTAGGGTAAAAGGTCAAGAATACCCTTATAAGTATGTAATAAAACCATAAAAATCAAAGAAAATAACCTATTAATGAATCTCGTCGGCCAAATCGGCGATCTGGAGGTCTCCTCAACAAATATACTCGGCGTATCACCCATTAGGACTTTCGATCGCCAAAATGGACATAAACTCAAGGTTTTCGGTACAATTCGGCAAGCTAGTTTGGCGACTTGCCAACCCATTCGGCGGGTCGCCGGTTCAGCAGGTAAGTTCACCCAATTTTCTAGCCCAGGTATGTTCCAGTAAAACAACCATTACTCTTTATTCCAAACTTGTAATAAGGCAAACTTAACGGAGTTAGTAAAAAGACTAATAGACATTTAATTTGATAGGTCACAGGACACCTAAATCATTATATTCTAAGAGACATGAGTGTTTGAAGTTGACCTTTATATGAACTCAAGCGAGAACTTAGCCAATATGAATGTGATGGAATGTATGCGTCCACTATCAACCAGGTCCCTTGACTCAGCAAGAATAGTAATGAAGAGTAAACGATGAAGAGAAAACAATACAAGCAGTTTACGTGGAAACCTTCTTGCTCAAGAGAGTAAAATCACGACCTGTCACACATGATTTTCAACTGTTTTCACTAATCTTCTCAAGCAAAAGTGAAACACAGATTACAACCACCAACGATAATAAACTCTTAATCTCAAAGCTAAGTAATACTCCTATTACTTACTGAGCCTAAGCAAATACCACACTGCCCACTAAGCCATCCAGCCCTAGATAACTTAGACTTCAACTAAGCAGATACGACACTACCCACTAAATCAGCTAGCTCCTAGATGATTTAGAATTTGACTAAGCAGATACAACACTGCACACTAAATCAGTTAACTTTAACCGATTAAGACTTTTACAACCAGAACAAAAATATGATTCCTTTATAGATTAGGAACAGATTTACAATATAAGCATCAAAGTATGAATCCTAAGACAACTATGACACATGCAGCTCTATCAGGTCCTTGTTGATCTTGAGGAGGATACTTCACAAAAATGGGTTTTTGCTTGTGTTCTTGAGAATTTTCAAGATGCAAAAACTGAAGTTGTGTCTATTGAAACGAACCTTATAAAATGATAGACACAAACTCAAACTAAACAAAGACGCTTCACCACTTTATCAGGTCCCTTTGTTGATCATGAGTATTGTTCTTCCTTGAAAATGGCCTTTTCTTTTTGAGCTTATGAATTTTCAGAAATTCACAACTTTGTTTGCCAAATCTTGAGTTTGTGTTAAGGGAGAAGAGACTAAATCAAAAATGAACACAAACCCTTGGGACAAGGCCATTGGTTGAGAGCATGTTGTTCTCAAAGGTTGTGCACCAACCACATCAGAGTTGACAGCCTTTTGACAGTTGTCTTTTCGTCCTTTTCTCGTACGCAGACTCTCCGGGACCAGGTCCCTTGCTACGTTCTTTGATGTTTGAATTCTTGAAAAAGACTTTCTAGCTCTCTCTCTTCTTGAATGAATAGCGTTGTT